TGAACTTCTAGTTGCTGCCATATAGCTGGAGGGACATAGCAAACTTTATAGTAATTCTTTTTCAGGATCCCCTAAAGGGATTCACCAGTTGAGGCAGATACTCCTGGTTTCCGGAAGGAAGGGAGGGAGAGAAGGATTTTTCTGATTATATCTAATAGAAAAAATAACTAAAAAGATTAATATCATGAAAGTAAATAGTGTTATTTTAAAGCGAATATATATCATAATCATATTTGTTCAGTTACATGTATCATCCATCCTTTTATAACTTTTGTAAAAGCTGAAATTCTAATATTTATACTTGATAATAGAATTACAAGATTTATTTATTTATTTATTTATTAATAAAATTTATATGCCGCCCAATCCCTAGGGATTCAGGGTGGCGTACAAAATTAAAACAATAAAAATAACAATAAAAATAAATGCATTCGTACTGCATGTCCCAATTGTATCCCGGCACCCCCGGGGACATCAACCCCAGGCCTGCCGGAACAGGAGAGTTTTAATGGCTTTCTTGAAGGCCGGCAAGGTGGGAGTAGTTCGAATCTCGGGGGGGAAGTTGATTCCACCACGTCAGAGCCACCACAGAAAAGGCCCTTCCCCGAGGGCCCGCCAGCCGACATTGTCTGGCCGACGGGACCTGAAGGAGGCCCAATCTGTGGGACCTCACCGGTCTCTGGGAACTATGTGGCAGTATGCGGTCCTGAAAGTAACCTGGTCCTAAGCCATGAAGGGCTTTAAAGGTGATAACCAGCACCTTGAATTGCGTCCGGAGACCCACTGGAAGCCAGTGCAGCTCGCGGAGGATAGGTGACATGTGGGTGTACCTTGGTGCACCCACAATCGCTCTTGAGGCTGCATTCTGAACCAACTGCAGCCTCCGAATGCTCTTCAAGGGTAGCCCCACGTAGAGCGCATTACAGTAATCCAGTCTTGAGGTGACAAGGGCATGAGTAACCGTGAGTAGAGCCTTCTGGTCCAAATAAGGCCGCAACTGGTGCACCAGGCAAACCTGGGCAAAGGTCTCCCTGGCCACAGCCGATAGATGTTGTTCCAAATTTAGCTGTGAGTCCAGGAGGACACCCAAGTTGTGTGCCTGCACTGAGGGAGGTAAATTTACCCCCCCCAGGACTAATGATGGACCATCAGGATGACCCTTGGGGGGCAAGACCCAGAGCCACTTGGTCTTGTCAGGGTTGAGTCTAAGCCTGTTCACCCCCATCCAGACCCTCACATCTTCCAGGCACCGGCACATCACGTTGACTGCTTCACTGAAAGGACACGGGGTGGAGATATACAATTGGGTATCATCCGCATACTGATGATACCTCACCCCGTGTCGCCGAATGATCTCACCGAGCGGTTTCATGTAGATGTTAAAAAGGAGGGGGGACAGGACTAAGCCCTGAGGCACCCCATAATCGAGGCACCTAGGGGTCGATCTCTGTCTGCCCGCCAACACCGACTAAAACCTGTCAGAGAGGTAGGAGGAGAACCACTGCAATACGGTGCCGCCCACCCCCACCTCTAGGAGACAACATAGAAGGGTACCATGGTCAATGATATCGAAAGCCGCTGAGAGGTCAAGAAGCACCAAGATAGAGGAATGACCCCTATCCCGGGCTGACATTGCCTTAAACATTATCTGCAAAAATCCATATTGATTTTCTTACCTTTTGAAATGTGAAACATTAATGCAACATGTTATATAAATAACCAATATTGTACAACTCACAGATCAACTAGGACAATCTGGAAATGTATTTATTTGTTTGCTGGGTTTATATGCTACTCTAATCAGAAATAACTCTGACCACAGGCAATTTTTATTATGCCTGAGAAATATTTTGGTAATTAGATAGATATTACATCAGTTAAACTTCATATTAAATCTAATTTATTATTTCTCATATAGTCTATCATCTACTCTATCTCTTGTTGGAGTACAAAATAGCTACTTGCTGGGGAATGAGATTCCTTATTTCATTGCACTTGCAATTATTATTTTTATCTTTTATTTATTTTTATTATAATTTCTTTGATTATTGTGAGCTACCAGAATCATCAAAAGTTGCAATGCATACAAATTAAATAAATTTATTATGTTAGTTATGTAGTCATCAAGATGTTTATATTGATTTGGGATCTAGGAGGATCTGGGATAGGCAGAATGTTATTTAATAATATCAATAGTACTGTTGAAGGATGTAATCTGTTGCAATTAATGCTGTCTTTTGCAATTGATTGATGGTGATTTTGTCAATGCCAATGGTGTTCAATTGATGTTCCAGATGTTTTGGAATTGTACCCCAGGCACAAAAAATGGCGACAGAGAAAATAGGTAAAAAGAATAAAAGAGTAAAATACACATAATAGGAAATAAATAAATAAACAAGGCCTCTAAAATATAAGGGAAATTATAGTTTTCTAATCGAATATTAATTATCCATAATGTATAATATGTATTATGTCACTTCAAAATAACCCTAAGAATTACTATTAAGGGATACATATTAGAAACCAAGGGTAACATAGTATCTATCACCAATTAGAATTATAAGCTATAATAAACTGAATAAATACCAGAAATCTATTTTTCCTTTAAGGCTGAAATTAAGAAAAGAAACAAGTTTGGGGTATGTTATAAATAAAGTCCATTAAACAATTTTAAATTAGAATTCAATTCTACATTGAATTTACTTTTAAGATACAAAGTTTTTCAAAACATCAAAATACACTTCCATACACCATTCTTCCAAGAAAAAAAAATCAAACCTTCTCAATAAAAAGCATATCATATGCTGGCAGCAATTAAAATGAATAAAAACTAATGCAGAACACATGGTCCTCAAATTAAATTTTGAGCCCAAAATTTATGTTCTAAGTGAGACATTTTTAGGTGATTTTTTTCATTTTATGACCTTTCATGCCACAGTTGTTAAGTGAATCATTGCAGTTGTTAAGTTAGTGACATGGTTGTTAAATGAATTTGGCTTCCCCATTGACTTTGCTTGCAAAAAGTGGTCATATTCCAACTGTCATAAATATGTTGCCAAACATCTGAATTTTGGTCATGTGATCATGAGAATACTGCAAAGGTTGTAAGTGTGAAAAAGGTCATAAGTTACTTTTCCAAGTGCTTGTAACTTTGAATGGTTTAGATGAACTGGTGTAAGTTGAGGACTACCTGTATATTATGGGGAAAATGTATGGTTTAGTCAATTAAAATATTGCAACTTGTAATAAGAATTTAACTTTCAAAATTTGTTTCATTATAATATGAATTATTATTTTTCAAAATTGCTGATCCTAACAGCACTGCCACCATACATGAAAAATGACTTGATCTGCTCATACATTTCCAGGTTTTTTTAAAAAAATATCCAATTTAATTATCAGTAATATGGAGTAATTTAGAAAGAAACATCCTATACCAATTTATAGTTAGTATGATATTTACAGCAAATATTCTTACTCCATTGAAACTCCCATTTTTGCATCTCTCTTGTTGATTTCAATCAATCTTTTTAAAAATTGCAATATGACATGTAATTTCAAATTATTAAAGGCTTTTTCTTCCTCGAGGAAAATAACTGCAAAACTTTTTAAATTAATTTTTTTTCAAAAAATATTTTTATCTTGCTGATAATATTGAAATGTGTCTAATTTATTTATCTTATACATCTTCAGAACAAATCCAGTCTGATCACTTCAATCACCAATCCACTTATGTTCTTATTAAGGATTGCAATGAATAGCTTTATTTTGAAAATAGGTCTATGTGACTTAAGACAGCTTCCATGAACAGGGAAGTCCTCCAATTTAACTGTAATCCTAAACTTACAAAACAAATTTTGTAGGAATGTAAACTTCAAGGATTGGTGGGAATGAAGGAAAAATAAAAAGTAAAAATAAGCAGGATTGTTTTGTGTTCCCCTCATTTAATAATTGCCTTTCATATTGTCTATCCTTTTTTTAAAAAAAAAAAAGCTTTGTGTTAGTATTTCTTTTTCTTTAATAGTGCATATCCTACTATTGAGCAACATATTATGGGGATATATATTGCTCAAATAATACAGAAATATTTTCCAATTTCAATGGAATATATCTCAAAAAAACTTCTCTTGTTGATAATATTTTAGACAACTCTTAAAAATGTTTAGAATAATTAAATCAAAATAATAATTTTATGGCAATATAATAATGAACTGTAATATGCAATAATGTTTATTTAGTCAATGAACAGCAAAATTTAAACATACAAAGCAAAGGTAAAAGCAAATGAGTAAGATAAGATACTAACATAACAAGGAATCTCTATAATAAAAGTATAACCTATAGTACTATAATGGCATGTTAATGAATTGTGTATTTATTATTTGCTTCAGAGCTTGCACTGGAGATAACAAGCACAAGAAGATTACATTTTCTGCTATCTATTTTAATATTTCTTTTCCTCCCAGCACAAATTTATATTCACTAAATCTGAAGAAAGATGGATGTGATATTAGACTTTAAACCACAGGAGATAGATGTGCCATGAATTTATTCACAAACAGAATAACATGTTTTGATATACAACAGTACATGAAGGACTGTACTTTCTGCATTTCTGTCACTAAAAATGAGTTTGAAGACTAGATTTTAGTAATAAAGTAGTCAAATTCGATTATTACTGAAATTTAGGCAGCTCCAATAGAAGATACGCAAAACTAAGCATAAACAATCATAGGTATAGATCCCAGTTTCCTAAAGATGAACATCAAATGTTTAAGGATTGTAGTTGCAAAAAGGATCAAATAGTCATCATTCCACTTGGAATAATAAAGCAAACCTGAGAAAATTAATCCACAAATAAAAGTAGGGACAACAGATATTAAGAAATCATATACAATATATCCATTATTCTAATGGAACACACTATCACAGAACTTTCATTGTAAAAATACATGTATTCAATGCATGCATGTTAAAGAAGATATAACGTATTTACTTACATCTGAATTAAATCTCAATTGGCATATGTTGCATGATATGATTTGCTTTCTTCTGTGAGGAAGAGGAACCCCAAATGTATGATTTATTACAGCTTTTTGAATTGGATCCATCTGCAATAAGGAGAAAAAGTTGTTTTCTAGGTATTAATCTACCTTGGTTAACAACATTAAATTAAATCTGTGCACTTCCCAAATATGGAGCTTATGCTTTTTGTATATGTTTGTATATAGATAGGTATGTGTATATCTATGCATATGTGCTTATATAGTGGTGGGTTTCAAATAATTGAACAACTGGTTCTCTGCCTTCCCTTCCCTCTGCCTTGGTTGGGGTGGGCTGCTCAGGGGGTCAGCTGGGGTGAGGGCAGGAGGTCCCAGTGGGGGGTCAGAAGCTCCCAGTTGAGGAATTGATGGAGGTCCCAGCTGGGGAGGACGAGGGGGATGTTGGGGGGCTGCAGGAGTTTTGGAATGGAGTGGGTGCAGGAGAGTGGGGGGTCAGCAGGTCCCGGCTGGGGTAAGGTGAGGGGATCCAGTTAGAGAGCAGAAGGGCTGGGACGCCTCCACAGGGGAAAGCCATGCCCCCTCCGGCCAAGCCTGTCATCCATAATGTGGTCATGTAGGATTGCATAGAAGTGGCGCCAGGTAGGGGGCTGGAGGGGGAGCAGTCAGCAGGGGGGGGGGAAATCAGAGCAGCCACCATCTCCCTTCCGCAGCACAGCTCCATTGGTGCAGGCGGAGATGGCCCAGGGACGGCCGAAGTGGTCCCTCGCCTGATATGGGTCTCTTACACTTGGTGGATCTGATAGGGAGTGGCAGCTGCTGCTGCCCCGAGCCCCTCAACCAGCCATCCACACAGGGAAGCAGGAGGCAGAGGTGGCAATCCCTGCATCACCAGGTCTGGCCGGTAGCATCTCCGGAAGTGAAGCTGTGCTGCCCATTCTTGTGCTGGTGGGGCAGCAATGGGAGAAGGTGGGCTCTGGCACATGCCCACCCCTTGCTGCTGCTGCTCTACATTGTCCTGCATGCGACCCGGGCCCCTCACCATCATCGTCCCAGATGCTGCATTGCGGAAGAGAGATGGCATGCTGCTGGCCGGGCCAGGCGATGCAGGGATCACCGCTGTCACCTCCTCTTTCCCAGCCCCACATGTTGCCCAGGTGCCATAGCATACCATCTGCTGGCCACACAGGGAAGCAGCAGGAGGAGGAGGTGGCAGCGATCCCTGCATCACCAGGGCCAGCCAGCAGCATGCCACCCCCTTTTGCAGTGCAGCATCTACCAGGACCCCACCAATCAGTACCCCCACCAGCTGCCGCCCCAACCAGTGCAAGGACAGGCAGCACAGTTTCGCTTCCAGAACTGCTGCTGGCCAGGCCAGGCAATGCAGGAATCACTGCTGCTGCTGCCTCCTGCTTCTCTGCATGGCCACTAGGTCGAGGGGCTCGGAACAGCAGCAGCAGCCGCTCCCATCAGAGCTGCAAGCAGACGGGGCCTGGACCAGGCGAGGGCTCCCTTCTGGCCATCCTGGGGCTGTCTCCACCCACGCTGATGGGGGTCTGTTGCCAGATAGCCATGATACAGGACAGCACCTCTTATGTTTTTGATTACAAGTGGTATCTTTCTCAACCACACAGTCTCCCTGAAAGCTATCAGTTCTAACACCGGACAAAGGCGGTTGGAGAAAAAATAATAAGTTGCCATTTGATACCTGCCTTCTTCCTATGGAACCAAAGTTAGAGGGTGGGTGGCTGAAGAGAGGGACGGTTGATGTTCTGCCTCCTTTATTAGGGGGCAGGTTATTAACAAGCAGCCCACTCCATTTTGTTAAAAAAAAAACTATTTTTTTAATGAAATGGAGCGGGCTGCCTGTTAATAGCCTGCCATGTAATAAAGCAGGCAGTACTGCAACTGTCCCTCTCTTTAACCAGCCACCTGCTAACTCACAGAAGTCCCATGTGGCTGGATGCATCCAAGCATGGCTGGTTTCCCTCCCCCCCATCCCAGCCTTGCATGTTCTCCTTTTCCTAGGCACGACTTACTGCAGCACCTCCTTAGCTGTCAACCGGATGGCCAGCCAGCTCAGAGGCAGCTTCTCTGAACTGCTGGTGTTGGGTGAGGCGGGGTCTGCTTTTCATCTTTTCCTCTGAACTGCTTCGGCAGATTCCCCCCTCACCTGCCCACCCACCCTCTTCCATTTCACTCCCCTTCCAAGCCCTCTTCGCAGCTCTGCCCACACAGCCACTGAAGCGGGAGTTAGAGCACCGGAGCTAGAAAGCATTTCTCTGCTGCCGCAGAGTTGGAGATCTTACCCTACACACCACCACCCAGATGCCCTCACTTCCCAAAACATTTCTTTCTAATCTTCTTTCCAGCTCCTCCATCACTTCCTCCGCTGCCATATGCAATCCCAGAAACAAAAGTTTGTGGAACTAAAAAAAAAATAGTTCAATCAATCAATTCCAACTTCTCGCGAAAAAGAAATATCTCACAAAGTTGGAATTGATTGATTGAATTTTTTTTTAGTCCCATAAACTTCTTTTGTTTGTAGGACTGCTCACGGTGGCGGAGAAAGTGATGGAGGACAGTATCGGAGCTGGAAAGAAGATGTCGCATGGGTCTGATCGAGAGGTGGGAGGAGGTGGTGTTTCTGCCACACGTCAACCGGTTCTCCAAACTCAAAAGAAATTAACTACCAGTTCTACTGAACTGGTGCAAACCAACTGAATACCACCACTGTGCTTATACCTGTGTTAGCATGTACCGATGAAGAGTGAGAAGGGAAGAATAAATGAAGAAAGAGTGTATGAATCAAGAAGAGAAAGACTGAGACAATTAAAGTTAGATGGAATTGAGATCCTCACAGACAGAGATAAAACATTAAACGTTAAGAAAAAAAGACAAGGTAGAAAAAAAGATAATTTATAACTACAGAAAAGTACAAACTGGTATAGTAAGTGATCTTGGTGTGAATTAGAACTAGATTTGGTTTGATTTCTTTATCTTGTCTTTAACTCCTGTCTTTAATTTTCTTTGTCCATTACTCACTTTTTTCAGTCCTTTGTATAATTTCTGGTATATATATCACATCAGATCCCATAGCTACTGTATATGTTGGAACACTGTCTTAACTTTTATCTAGGAAATTATGGATGAGAAATCATTCCTGGAAGAAAGCTCTAAGAAAAACAGTAACATTCTAACATAATTCCAACACTCTCACTTGTCTGCCACGATTTCATTAAATGTTGTGATTTATGGAGTTATATTTTGAAAAACAATTCTGCCTTGCTATATCAAAGTGCATTTGTCAAAGCAGAAATGTCTGGATCTAAATCAGCTTTTATTGATCACTTTGGTTAATTGATTAGCATGAGGATCTGTTTGCATAAAGACCCACATACCAGTTGTGAAAGTTATATTTAAAAGAAACAGCTTATTGCCTACGTGGAGAAATAATGTTTTTTTTTCTCCATAATAATCCTGTAAGTGCTGGATTTATTCATTTTTCTTACAAAGATTGAACTAGGTGAATTCATTATTCTGGTTACATAAAAATTTGTATCTCCTGAAAGATTGGATCACTGTGCTGAGAATTAGAATGCCCCAGTTTTAGTTCCATAATAATTAATGACTACAGTATGTACCATATTTATAGTGAATGACTTCAAAGTTCCCTCATTTTTATCAATGTTTATTTTATAGAATGGAAGCAGTCTAACTTTTGTGTTTCATATTGGTCTCATTTACAAAATATACTTAACAGTTGGCTCATTGGCAGCATTAGATATTTAAAATATATATCCTAACTGAACAGGTATCAGTTGCCAAACTCAAAAGAATAGAAGAGGCAGGCTAAAAGCTTGAAATTAAATATCCAGGAGAACTGGAATAAAAAAAGAAGATTTATAGACATTAGCAAATTTGGTCTCCAAAGAAAAAAATCCTGCTTAAAAAAAAAGTGATATGAATAAGATATGGTCAAACAAGCATGCAGTTTCCTCAAGTCCTTGATTTCTATTGATTTTGACTGGATCCCAGAGTGCTTTTTTCAGGAAAAGATCACAGAAGGACTTTAGTTATATAGAAAAATAATAGAAAAGTAACAGAGAGCTTTTTGAATTTTAGCATAGCAAACCCTGTTTGTTTATCAAGAGAAACAAAAGAGAACAATCAAGACTCTTCATCTACACTACAGCATGCATGTCAAACTCGCGACGTCACATGAAGTCGTGCAACGTATCATGACTTTTTCCCCATTGCCGGCAATGGGGTGGGTGCAGTTTTAGTATAATGCATCCAGCCTGCAGGCCGGCAGTTTGACATACCTGATCTACAGATTAGGAGGACTTTAAACAAAGAGTTATAAGATCTGTTTCTCAGGTTTCCTGATTTTCTCACCTTTCTTCAGCTAGTAACTACAGACTAATTTGTTTGGATAGGAAGGAATATCCAATTTTTCCTCTTGTCTTACAGAGTGATGCAGATGTGTTGTGAATGCTGATTTACAGTTAGCAGTCACAATTAAGAAAAGAGAGGAAATTTGTGTTAGGAAGTTAATGCTCTATTTCAGGCATGTGAAACTGCCAGTCCGTGGGCCGGATGCATCATACTAAAACTGCGCCCACCCCATTACCAGCAATGGGCGAAAAGTCACGATACGTCGTGCGATGTCACGTGACATCGTGAGTTTGACATGCCTGCTCTATTTGATTTCAAAGTAGAGGATGAACTTTTCTGATTTGTAGGTTGTCTTAATGTCATCTAAGAATATAATATGATAGGATTAATCAATCAGATTAGAACTGGAAGGAACCTTGGACATCTTCTAGTCTAACCAATAAACAAACAAACAAACAAATACAATAGTCCTAGTGATTTCAATTGTGGTGGAGCTAATTTATTTATGAGACTTATATACCGCTTTTAAGTGCAAGCACTCTCTAAGCGGTGTACACCAGTAAGCAATGTATATATATATATATATATTTACATTGCCCCCAACAATCTGGGTCCTCATTTTACCTACCCCGGAAGGATGGAAGGCTGAGTCAACCTTGAGCCGGTGAGATTTGAACCGCTGACCTGCTGAACAGCTAAAGTGGCCTGCAGTA